TTTTTCGGGGGTTGTTGTTGGGTGAGCGCGCTCGAAAATTCCCATTTGAGGTGTCCTGCGCGGTGGGAGCACACGCAGCGGATCATCATCAGTCATTCACCACCTTGACAACCTCGCCTGTGATTGACAGCCGGAGTGGCAAAAAGCCATGAGACTTGGTAGTTGGGTTTGAGGGGCACTTTAAAAAAAAAAAAAAAAAAGGAAAAAAAAAAAAAGGAAAGAGAAAAAAAAAAAACCTGATTTGGGGAAAGGATATTTGCTTTCGCCCCGCTGCTGTCTTGGAAACGAGAGGGAGAGAGTAAGAGAGAGAGAGACAGGGAGAGAGGAAAGAAAGAAAGAAAAAAGAAGGAAGGAGGCAGAGTTGATTTTTTTTTTTTTTTTGTTTTCTGGTTGTTGTGTTTTTTTTTTTCCTCTCCTTTTTTTAATGCTGAGTTACCGTATCGCTTCGCTGAGATCCAGCAAGCCGAAGATTTTACTCGATTGCTTTCATTGCTGGCGACGCTAAGGGATTTTTGCATTTTTTTGGGGGGGTGAGGGGGGGGGAACTTCGCGTTTCTTTCTTTTCACACTGGCCTTAAAGAGGATATATTAGAAGTTGAAGTAGAAAGGGAGCAAGCAGGCCGATGGCGCAAAGGGTACGTATTTTATTTTTTTTAAAAAAAAAGAAAAAAAAAATTGATTTCAAATGTGAAATGATATTGAGACGTGGCTGACAGAGACGCTGCGAAAAAAGTTTCTTCCCCCTCCACCTCCTGTTTGGAGCGGGGGCACAAAGCGGTGTCCTGGAGCGGGAGGATTTATCAGTTGTACTTGTAGGCTTAAAACCTGTATATATTGATATTTTCTTGATTCTTTGACTCCCCATCCCGGATCTCTCACGGAAAAGGCAAGCTTTCTGTGCATTAATGACATGCAGGCATGTAAGTGAATATGTCCGAGCCTCTGTATTTGTTGGTTTTGTAGCTTTAGTCCTACCAATGTCTTTTTTAAAGTCACCAGGGCTTGAAATATTTGAATGTGTGCATGTCTCTGGGCGTTTTGCTGTGTTAGTGATGATACACCGCTTCACTTTCGGAAGACAACTTCTAGTTGGGAGTAAACAGAACTTTTTTTTTCACTTTTTTTTCCCCTCATTCCCCCCCCCCGGGGTAGTTGGTTTGGTAGTTGCTTCTGGTTTGGATGCGATCTCTTTTTTTTTTTTCCCCCCTTTCTAATTACCTCCTAAATTGAAGTTTTGTGGGAAAGAAAATAAATAACCGGCCGGAGTCGGATGAGCAGGGATTTAGGGATGAGGAAAAGCCCTGAAAAGAAGTTTTCTTGCCTAATTTGCCTGCCCGCCCCTCCGAGTGCCGGTTGGGAAAGAAAGTTCCTCTGCTGACAACTTGCCTTTTACTCTTTCGGTCCAAGCAAGTGTCAGAGATCTTTAAAAGTGTTTATTCACACCTTCGCTTTTAATAGATGAAAAGTGGCCGTTTCCCCCGCTGCCTGGGAACCGCGTTAGCTTTCGCTCCTTAATCTTTAACAAAGAAAACCCTTTTTTTCTTTTTTTTTTTTCTTTTTCTTTTTCTTTTTTTTAAAAAGCATTCGCAAACGTTTCCAGCCTTTCGGCTTTAAAAGTACCTTATCGTGGAATTGCTGGAAAGCCCCCAAAAATCGCTTCGTTGGGTTTGTTTTTTGGGGTGTTGGTTTGTTGTTGGGTTTGTTGGTTTGGTTGGTTTTTTTTGCTTCTGCTGAAAACTTTTTTTGCATCTTCGCTGGCTTTGGTACCTGACTTCTGCTTATCAGCGGGAGAAAGTTTGGCGGAGGAAGGCTTGGGGCTTCGTGAGCTGCTCCCATTCACCGGGGTGTGTGGGAAGTTTGGGGATAGGGATTACATTTTAATTAATTTTTTTTTAAAATAAAAAAAACCAAAAAGAACTGTGATTATTGTTACTTGTCCCCGGGCTCGGGGGGCTGCGGGCAGCCCGGCCGCTCAGCCCAGCCTAACCCTGCTGCTCCCCGGCCCGGGCCAGCGTTTCCCTCCCCGGGGCCGGCGGCTGCGAGGCGGGGGGGGGGCGGC